TTTTTGTGAAAAAAAGTGAATTGAGGTCCTGGATCCTATTTAGTTCTGTAGAATCTATCACTATTACTGGGGTCAATAATGTCACAGGGTACAGGCACTCACCAACAACACAAGATGTAGAGACATCCCGAGAGATTAATATCGCCTGTGTGCATTGCCAGAATGGAAATAGGATAACAATGACATATTGGACCTATTTCCATTCATCAGGAGTGAGATATGGCTCTTGAATCTTTGTATTAAATGTTGAATTCCAATGGTTTTGTACATCTTGAACCATCTGAAGTGGTGGGTTTGGGGCTTGGAGGTCACAGAATCGTTCACGGCGTTGAGGGGAGGCATTGATGGCATTGGAAAGGTGATGGATCCAAGGCAATAGGATCATTACCTTGTTGTTATTGAAGTTGAATGCTTATAGCACTCAATGTATCTTATGCAATGTCTTTCCAAATGAGACACTATACTCTGATAGTGCTGGTTGAATACCATCATCACTGAATGACACAGCAGCCACATCATCTGTGACGGCCCGGTCACGTTGGCTGGCTATCATGTGAGATGCAGTTGTTTGCTTTGTTGATGAATACAGCGTCACCCCCTGTCTTCCTTCCTCATGTTGATTATTATCGTCGATAGCTACCTAGGTGGAACCCATGAGTTGGATGTTCCATTATCCTAGTAGAGCGCCGTGACATCATCACAAGCCCCAATGCTGAGATACTTAATGATCTCATTTACTACTAGCTGAGCCACATGTGCAAGGCAAGGAAGCTGATTCTGCTTTGCTGATTATTGGCTACCTTTCAACTCCAGCTTCTCTGAAAGGTCTTCACAGGCATAGCGCTTAAGACGGTCTATTGATTTGCTGAATCACTACGCCAGGAACACAGCGTAGTTGGTGATCCGTCCAAAACCACCCAGAAGATGGAGATACTAATGCCAATTCTTAGATATAGCAGGATGTCGACCAGTCCAGACAAAGATAAACATTACAAGGACAACATGAATGGATGTAAGACGACAAAATATATTTTGCCGCCAAAATCCACTATGACGCGGTCGTTCTACAGTCACTATGTCCAGTAAATGGCAGGGTCAACCAAGCATTGCCTGTTTTGCTCAAAGTGAGGTGTGAAATCAGCGTTATGGTCATGAGAGCATTAGAGCATAGTGTCATTTGCCAAGAAATTTTGCATTGGTGAATGATCATTCTCATAGCATTTTCCTTTCCACAGTAGCGTGTCATAGGATGCAGCAAACCAGGAATGTGACAACAGTGCTCCAATCATTCATCATTTGGCAGTGAGGTTTGGGTCCAGACCTTACAGAACCGCCTCCGCGAAAATGTGACAAAAATAACCAAGAAAACCACAGGTGAGATATTTGGGCCATTGGATTTGTTTCTCTCAGATGCTAAATCGTTGTCATGTGGGCGTTCCAACCGCATACGCGGCACATGGGATCGGCGTGGTTAGGGCGAAAGTGCGACGCAGAAAGGGCACCCGCAGAAAGGGGCAATAAATGGGGTCAATTGTAAGCTGTAGTTAGCCTTGGGAGTTTGTCAAGCCTGGAGTCAATATCTTTCCTTTGATAAGGGAGTCGAAAGGGCGGATACCATTAATGACGAGCGGCCGGAAAAGCAAGACCTCATGTAAATTCGATTTTTAGTATAAGATAGGGAATTAAAGGATGTGAACCAATTTACTGTATAAAAGAACAGGGAGACAGAATCAACTCGAAACGCTGGTCAACGTAAACGAGGAAAAGGAAGCCGGAAGTAAAGGTGAGAGGGCGCAGCCGCGATTTTCGAAAAAAAAAAAAAAAAAAAAAAAAAAAGAGACCAGCAAAGTTCAAATCGCCAGAAATATGGGTGAGTGCAGCATATGGGAGGGAATTTGGCAAAAGAAGAAGTTTTGGGAGGAGACGAAGTCAGAACAGTGAGGGAGGGCTCTTTTATATTGGAAGGCCAGGCGGGCAGCGTTTATAGTACGGCGTATCGGGAGGCTATACCAGACCAGGGATAGTCTGAGAGTCCAGGTACAAAAGACAGAAAATGGGAAGAGTCAAGTGGTGGCAATGGTGAAATAAAATAAAATTAAAGAGCTAAGGATCGGTATCTCTTCACTGTCAGGGCTCATTCTATGTGCCTGAGGCATTTTATCGTCTGTCGTTTGATTTGCAACATTTGCATCAGAAATATGTCACATGATTTTGCACTTTACTCGGTCAGGAAAACATCACGTGGAACGCGTTCGAACAGAAGCTGTCGGTGATCGTGACCTGGTAGCAATCTGTTTATTTTATTTTATTCTATTCTATTTTAAACCCCCATTCATGATTTCAAGATATAACGGAATGATATATAGAATTTGAACAATACTGCAACTGTGCGCTTCGTTTTTTAGCGTATTGCTATCACACGACAACAAAACAGTCCCAACTCTGCAAGATCATAGATGTGCTCTCGCTAAAGAAGCTGCTTCCCGAATAATCATCCGTTGATTGTCCCGCATGTGATACCCAAACTTGGAATTAGAAACAAGTAGTCTTCTGGGTTTACTTTGCTTTACATCAGTTTCTCAATTCCCGGGGAGGTATTGGAGATACAAATACGATCATGGCAACTCCCTCTTCAAAACCGAATCCAGGTGCGACACCAACGCACTTAACCTCATCCCCCCGGCCATCAGGAGTCCCCATGGCCCGTCCCATGTCACACAAGTCACCATCGGCAAGAAGCCCCTCGGCGACGGGACACCTTCACGGGAGTGGTGGTCACGCACCGCTGCATCAATACTCTACGCCTCTCGCTGTTGCAGCCGGGGGGCTCGATGATCCGGTTAATTTCAGTTCACCATCGGCCCTCTTAGCACTTGGGGGTTATAGTGGAATCAGCCCATCCCCTGCGACGCATGAGGTCTTGGTCGGGGCTGGTATGCACGATAGCGATATTCACGCGCTCGGAATGCACGGTTTTAAGATTGGAAATGCTCGCGATAGCGATGAAGAGCGGAGACGACATATAGAAGATGTCGTCCAGATATTACGGACTCGTGTTGCGGGGAGAGGTGTGTGCAGGGAAGGTATCGAACGGCTAGGACAGCTTGAGGGGTTTGAATCGATTTGGCAGGAGGATAATCTCAGCATTGCAGGTAACTTTGTCGATCTGGAAATCGAGTTTCATCCGGGGAAGCACACGGTGAAAGACGTAAGTTTGAAGTATGCGACACCGGAGGCTACTGAGGGTGAAGGGAGGGATGAGGCTACTGCTGTCTTAAAGCGGGATTTGATGCAGTCGTCTGAGGAAATAGAACGGGGTGCTTGGAAATCGCTGACTGGGTTCTATGAGAACCTGCGGTGGCTGGCTAAGTTGGACCGGCTCAGTCAAGAGGTCAACTGCTTCGAGGCTATTGAAGGCCTTTACGAGAGTTTGAAACGAATCTGGGACGAGGAAAGCAAACACCTGAAATTCTCTGAGATTTACGAGCATTTGTGCAGTGGATGGGTTGGTCGACCATCTCTACACAGGGGAGGTCGAATCGGAATCAGTTTAGATTACTGGATATACCAAGCAAGAATTTTGGACGCGAAACGAAAAAACACATCTCCTGACGCAATGGTACTGGATAACGCTGACCAGGAGTTTGATATTCCTCAACATAGAATGTGGAGCGTCATGATTGAGTGCGAAGAGGGTTACCCATCACTCCGTGTGTCCAAAGACTGGGTAAACTCCGAAGTTTTGACACCTATGAGCACCGATAAATCGTCTGCTCCCAACGAAAATGATACAACAGACATTCCTACGGTCAACTGGGCCGAGCCGCCAATGACTACGACTTCCGACAGTCAAGGCAACCCGGGTGCTATGACACTTGATTCGGGCATGCTGGGTTCATCCACGCCAAATCGCCGATTTGTCGCAAAGATAGAGCCACCCCTCGATGTCCCTATTCTTGCAGCTTCCGATATCTACAGACAACTGGGACTTCAGTTGCCGCAAGAGTTCAGAATGGTGACGTACGACGGTTTGCTGGTTCCAGGATCGTCACCATTGTCCGGAGCAGATATCATGGGCTTTGGCACTGATGAGCCACCGCAGGCTGATCGAAGGAAACGTCGACTGTCTGTACAGGCATTTGATTCAGAAGGCAAGCCCTGCAAAAAGCAACACGGCTACACATTCCAAGCCTTTGAATCAGTTGCCGGCAGGACCATGCGGGATATTCCATTTTCGCATCCCCGTCAACTTGCGGAGATCCTTCCGGTAAGTCTTCTTTGATAATTCTTATTCTGGTTGGGTGCTAATACTGCTGCGTTTCAGGTTCTGCGTCAGTATGCCACGTTGGAGAATATGATCCAGAAGATCTTTTATACCCCGTCGCGACGTCACGACAGCAAACAAAATGGGCAGAGGTCTACGAGTCTTGACAGAAAGCATCAGGCTGCGCAATCGAGCACAACCAATGGAAAAGGGAACGTGACCATTTTGAGCAATCAAGACCCTAACGAACAGAAGCTCGACGCCTTGATGAAAGGGCTTAATGTGGAGGGTGTGTCGATTGATAATGATGCAGACGACGTCAAAATCGACATCACATTGCGAACACAACTTGGACAGGCACCCGTGATCATGCTACTCTTCACGATCAACGATGCGTCCATCGGAAACGACTACCTGAAAACCTTTTCAATCAGTTTCGAGGTTGGATTAAACGGGCACATCATAGTCGTAGACACATCTGGCTTGTGGGAGGAGCCGGTTTCCGGCGAGGACAGGCCCGAAGGTGCAGATATAGGAGACCAAAAGGACGAAGCGTCGGAAATGCCGAAGAAGATCGCCCGCGCGCTCGAGGTCTCTCAGGATCTAGGGATATTAGTGGAGTGGGTTCTGCGATGGAGGCGGCAACAGAAGAGCACATAAGAACTGCGAACAAGGACATGGACCTCGGATCTCGGGCCGACACATGCCCGCAGAATTATGGGTCTTGACCAACCAGTCGTTATTACTCGCAGAAGTTGTACATAGCTTACCGGAGTGATATAGGATGCGTAACTGCTTATGTTGACGACGGTCTGTTTCGGTTGTGTTATGGTTGGTATCCATCTTAGATCAGCAACGGGTTTCAAGGTTGGACTGTATCGATACAGTCGTCATGCAAGACGTTAGAATCGGGTGATTGCGGCTCAAAACCAGATATGGCGCAAGCAATGTCAACATGGATAACCTACTGTACTATTTGACTGCCTGAATCGAGCCAAGGTGTTTCTTATATGCAGTAGATGACAAGTTCTGTACAACCCTCCTCGACCGCAATAGCAATGAAATCCCGAGTAGTACTCCGTACGAGACACAAAATCTGGGGATGATGAGGCTGAGATACCGGTTGTATCACATGAGAACCGCCACGTGACGAACCTAGGGACACGGGGGGAATGGACTTCCCCAGTTTTTAGCCCGAATCGGGTGGATAAGGAGGAAGACACCAGCATTAGTGCAGATCATGCTTAATTAGCCCTTTCTCGTCTACAGGAGACGATATCGACATCGACATCCTGAATACTCGACAGGATAAGTCCGACAGTCAGGGTACTATCTACGAGAAAGTTATCTGACGATTTGTTAACTGACTGGCGGTGAGATATATATCGTGATACGAGGGCTTAACGGAACCAGTCGAAATAGTAACAAGCAAGGAGCTGTTTGAGTCGAGCATTTGGAAACAAGAAAAAAAAAAAAAAAAAAAAAAAAAAAAAAACTGGGTGATGTATCTTATCGGTTGGACAAAATGCGCATACCAACAGTTTCTGTATAGAGATTTGTACAGAGATCAACTGCGCGAATTACTTGGAAGGACTAGGGGTGAGCTATGACTGAGAAACTTTTCACTTCAATTATTGGGACCGGTAAGTTTGGTATGATTTACTCTACATGGCTCTTGCATTGACACCGCTGGAACGGATGATATGTGGCAGCTGGATATTGATTCTACGAGGGATTATCATTATCGAGGATCTGATTCTAGACGTGTTCTTCTGACCGTGCTCGAGTCAGTTGTCTTGCAATGGAGTTTGCTATATCCCGAACTCCGCTATCATAACCGCATTTGAGTGCCGTACTTGATCTATATTGATAAGAAGTCTCAGCTGAGCCACTATCAACCCAATCAACCCACGTCCATTAATCATTCAATTCCAACGACATCATATCAATATGGATCACAAGCACACAGACAAAGCAATAAATCCAGAAAAAAAGACTCATTCAGCTCCAAATGCAGCCCTTATCAATTCCCTTACTACTGCGCAGCCCCGTCATTTGTCATGGAACACCAGGTGAGCCAATCAATAGCCGCCGATAAAAAGGCGGCCTTTGTGTGGAGTAACCAGGGGGCGCGTCGTTTTGTCGGGAACCAATGAGAAAACCGATACACTGTTGCGAAGGTTGTCGCAGGAAGGAATGGATGATTCAGCGTTGATTCAAATGATTTAATGGCCGCGTTTAAAGGGTTTCCATTGGTGCGTTTAGAATGGCAAGGTTTTTTCCTGTTATGCGGTGAGGGATTTTGCCAGATATAGAATACAGGTGTGCAAACCGCGTATTTCAATGGATTGTTTGTAAAATATGTATTATTATTATTATTATTTTTTTTTTTCCCCCTCTTTTTCTATTCTTTCATGCGTAAAGTTTGCTCTTGATGCATATGATATGCGTAGAGAAAGAATTCTTTGTGTTTGATATCGAGAAGTCACATGTACTCAACTGTACCACTCTTACAATGCGTGGATACTAACCGGATCTGGCTAAAGAGGCGTTGCGGAGCCCAGCCACACACTCGTTGCTATTCTTACCGCAAACGACGTTTTACACCGGATATATTTGGATATTTGTATCAGATATTCTGGTTGTGACTAACTGTGGGCTATAGAATACATGTACTCTGTACAAGTTTTTTTTTTTACTTGTATTTCTCTGTATCAGAATTGCGCGCACATGATATTTTTGATATCATTTCGACGGAGTAAAACCCCGTATTAAGTAGCTTGCACGGAGGAATGGCATTAATTATCTGCAATCACAGGGCTGAACGGAACTTTCTTCTCCAACCCTCCTTCCCCGACTTTTCATCAATAGTCTCTGGATTCCTCCTGAATCACCCGACTTCGCTGCTATTTTATTTGTTGCTTCCCGATCCGGGGTAAATCTTGTCAAATCCCCAGTTCTAGAGTCGGTCCCAAGACTCCCCTCGTACGCCCAGAATACATGAAGATGGGTTATCGAGGCGGTGCTGTATTGTCATACCGAGTTTCACCCTAGTGCGTAGGCCGGTGTCGGGACCACCGTCCACCGGCAACGCCTTTTCGAGAACACCTTTTTGCCACGACCCACTCTTAGGCGGGTGTTGTATTTAGATTACAATACGTGTATTTTATGGGGAAATGATCTCCATCTATCAATACAGAACTATGTGTGCTCGCTAGCTACTACGGGTGCTTGTATTTGTGCTATGTACGGTGTATATGTCGAGTGCACAACTGACGTGTTCTAGAATAATATGTTTTTATCAAAGAAGTTATTCTCGTATTCTGCATATCTCGTTTGATATGAAGCGTCATCGCGGGGTTAAAGGATGCGATAAGGGATCAATCCCTGCCATGGGAAGTGCCAGGTACGCCAGGAACGCAGTCCTGTCTACATATCTCAGTATGTGCAAAGATCATACAGATCAGGTACTTGTACAGACACAGATACATAGGTGTCGATACTTGTACAGAGTACGCTATTAATCAATCTGTAAACAAATTCACCGCGCTTATCCAGGGTGGCATCAAAACGCAACACCCACTCGAATATATTCCGTACTTGCATCGAGTGCACACTCAGGATACGAATCCATGCCCCCGACTCTAGGCACGAGGGTCCTTGTCGCCAATTGTATGGAGTTATAGACACACCAGGACGGCCATTGACGCAATGACCAGGAAGAAGAGAGTTAGCGGTTGATAACATGTTTTAGCAATCTCGTGTTGATATCTATTGCGCTTCATAAAATAAATTATTGATATGCACTGAAGATGGGTCACAAGACGCTTCATATCACGGAGAATTAAATGTTGACATATGTGGCTGGCTGCATTCCATAGTTCATCGGCCATAGTTTTTCTCGCTCTGGATACGCATTGGCGAGTAGTACAGAGTATTTGTTTATTATTGATCGTTCAGATCGATCCAGACCATGCATCTTCATGCCCTACTGTGCATGCTCTACGAATACATCTGCACATACTAATTGTACCATGCTTTAGATGCAGAAAGGGGGAGTCATTTTTTGCACCAATTTTACCTGATTCGGAAGGCGTCCTGTCCTGTCATTGGGCAGCCAACTGTCTCGTACTGGGTATTACAGTAGTATGAGGGATATCCTATGTTCTACTACAAAGTACAACCACAGTATGCTACGTCGGTGCATAATTATAGGTATCTAAAAATGTAGACAAACTACGAGTATAGAATTCTGGTCATGTTTTAGTATAATAGTACCCTAGTAGAGTTTTAACGAGTCATCATGATAACGGCGGAATCGTCGACCGTATCCGAAAAAAAGCGGAAATCACGATCGGTGGTTACGGTACGGTATCGTATTTTACCACCCACAGCCGAAGAATTCGCCCCTCCCAGAATTCTTTTGTCTCTTCCCTGCGCGGGAAAAAAAAAAAAAAAGAAAAAGAATATTAATTTAATCCCTCGCCCTCCTCCACTCAACCTCACCTTCCGTTACTTCTACTTCTTCATCCTTTTTTGCTCTTCTCTTCATATATCTCCTCTTCCCCATCCCCATCTTTCTATTTTATCCTCCATCTTCCTTTTCTTTCGTCTCGCGTTCTGAAGATCCAGTTCAATCTTATTCCATCTTTTGGATCTTTCCGCAGTTTTACTGTCGCTGTTCATTCTTCGTGAAGAGTCATCCACCTGGAACACTACCGAGTCACTTGAGCTCCCTTTGCTTGCCTACGAGACATCCAACTTCTACTCTCTTCCAAGAGATCACAAAAGATCATCCGTCATCATGGTATGGTTGCTTCTCCCGTCTTGACCTGTGGCGAATCTGAATCCCAGACTGACTCATTTGCTCTTTGCACCACAGGCTGAAACTTCGACCGTTATCTCCAACACGGATAACGTGCGTTTGACTACCTGAGTACTTCCTTTTCGAGGAAGTATCCAACCAAAAAAAAAAAAAAACATCCTATACTGACTGGCTTCGTGCTGGATACAGCTCATGAAATACATGGACCTCCCCCAGAGGGGCCACATCCAAGCAGAGTACGTCTGGATTGACGCTGTCGGTGGTTGCCGCTGCAAAACCAAGGTATGCTATCTATTTTCGTCGCTGTGGTGGGACAAATGAAGGCTACAATGCTATCTGCTATCTCGAACGTCTGTGCACGGTCATTCCAGATGCAACTAAACGTCCATGCGTCGCCACCTGCAGCTATCCACTCACGTGACCGTTTTACTAACGCGTTCTGGCACGTCTCTTAGACCCTCTCGAAACCCGTCAGCTCTGTCGATGAGCTCCCTGAATGGAACTTTGATGGTTCGTCGACCGGCCAGGCTGCTGGTGACAACTCCGATGTCTACCTTCGCCCCGTTGCTTTCTTCCCCGATCCCTTCCGCCGTGGCGACAACATCCTCGTCCTCTGTGAAACCTGGGATTCGGATGGTACCCCCAACAAGTTCAACTACCGTCACGAGGCCAACCGTCTGATGGAGGCCCACTCCAAGGAAGAATGGTGGTTCGGCCTGGAACAGGAATACACCCTGCTTGGTACTGACGGCTGGCCGTACGGATGGCCCAAGGGTGGTTTCCCCGGTGCCCAGGGTCCTTACTACTGCGGTGTTGGTACGGGCAAGGTCTACTGCCGTGATATCGTCGAGGCTCACTTCCGTGCTTGCCTGTACGCCGGTATCAAGATCTCCGGTATCAACGCTGAGGTCATGCCCTCGCAGTGGGAGTACCAGGTTGGACCTTGCAATGGCATTGAGAGTGAGTTTTTGAATTTACAATTTGATATTGAAGTCGTGCTGACTTGAGAAAGTGGGCGACCACCTCTGGATGTCCCGTTTCTTCCTACACCGTGTCGCTGAAGAGTTCGGCGTCAAGATCTCGTTCGAGCCCAAGCCCGTCAAGGGTGAGTGGAACGGTGCCGGTCTTCACACGAACGTCTCGACAGCCTCGATGCGTGAAGACGGTGGTATGAAATTCATCGAAGCCGCCATGAAGAAGCTCGAGGCCCGTCACGTTGAGCACATTGCCGTCTACGGTGAGGGTAACGAAGAGCGTCTTACTGGTCGTCACGAAACCGGTAACATCGACAAGTTCAGCTACGGTGTTGCCAACCGTGGTGGCAGCATTCGTATTCCCCGCCAGTGCGCCAAGGATGGCAAGGGTTACTTCGAGGACCGCCGTCCCGCCAGTAACGCTGATCCTTACCAGATTACTGGTATCATCGTCGAGACTGTAAGTTTTCTGATATCTGGGTTGAGGTCCACATGACTAACTTGAACAGCTCTGTGGTGGCAACTAGATCACTTCCAAAAACATTGGCATTTCGTCTTAGCGCTCGTATACCCTTCGGTGTCAACAGAGCGGGACTCAGGAGTGCAGCCTGGCAGCATACTTCATGGCAGATTTTCTCTTGGTGTTCTTTTTCCTTTCTTTTTCGACTGGGGTGCCAGAGCTTGCCTTTTGCGTTCGTTGACCCGCATATGCATTAATTATTTTCGTTGTCTGTCGTTTTTGTGGGTTATGTGTTACGTTCAATAGCATAGATCTTTCATTAGTGCTACGGGGTGATATTGGAGGCACCGTCGTTAGCACAGGATCAGGTTGGAGGAGCATTGATACAATGGGAATTGGGAAACAAAAAAGCCGGATGGCATACTGTTTTAGTAGAAATGTACTGTACAATCGTTATAGGGATAATTGGGCACTGGCATAATCAACTGGATTATATGGCTATCAGTAATATGATGCATTATTCTAGTCTATTTCTTTGGTAGGATTTTGGTAAGACTCGAGCCCAGACCGCGGAGTCCTCTCTGGTCGGCTTCTCGACGCGCAGCGCCATCGACAATGTCATCTTGACCGGTTGTTGTAGAGACAGGGTTCTTTCGGTCCACGAACCAAACCAAGAATTGCATCAAGAAGGCAGCCAGAATGCTGCCACACAGAATACCAACCATAACTAAGTTACTCTTGCGATACTTGGCCATCCCCGGCGCCTCAGCATCCGATTTCCAACCAGTATACAACGCATAGGTTGTCAGGATACTCCCCAAGTTTCCCCATCCAGACACCACGGCGGAAGCTGCCGCAACACCAACCTCCCCATGCCTAGGCTGGAAAAGCTCATTCGTCCAAGTCATAGTAATAGGCACAGTAGGACCAAGCCCAAACCCCACAATCAACAACCCACCATACCGGGGCCATGGCTTCGCATCAGACCCGGCATATGTCATAAGCAGGAGTCCCAGTATCTGCAACACAACCGGCCCCGAGAAGAACAGCGCACGATGTCTATGGAAGCGGTCCGAAATAGGCGTGATAAGTAAAATAGCAAGAAGATCCATTAACCAAATCGGTGCTGAAAGCAGAGATAGATCGACCGATGAGAGGGAGGGGTTGGTTGCTTGGATGATAATGGTACTGTAGTTCTGCACCCCGATACCCACGCCCACGACGCCAAAGTACATTATGAGTAGCGGCCAGAGGCGCCAGTCGAGGAAGACTTTAGCAAGGTCACGCAATGTCCAGCGCGGACGATGGTACACGCGGCGCAGATCGTGGTAGTGGGCTAGTGCATCTGCGCCAGAGAGCGCGGGGGAACTGCGGGGGATCACTCCGAAGTATTTCGTTTTCTCTTGTTCGGGGGACCCAGGGGCGACTGGTCGATCGGGTAGCCACCAGAGCAGAACGAATCCCACGACGATTGTGACGAGCCCGTAGATGAGGAACATCCATTGGAAGCCTACTAGGCCGCGGTCACCATCCATGCCTTGGAATCCTGCTGATACGAGGCCCACGACTGCGGCGGAGATTTGCGCTGCGGTGTAGTATTGGCCGATGCGCTTTCCGGTTCGTGAGGGCGGGTAGAAAAGGGTTAGGTAGTAGGACATGCCGGGCCAGAGGCCTGCTTCGACGATTCCGAGGAGGAGGCGGAGCAAACTACAGCCATTAGCATATATACTCAATCTCGGGGAGAAATAGGACATACTATAAACTCCAAGCCGCCTTCATAGCAGCCATACAAGCCCCAATAACACCCACACTAACGACAATCCGACTCATCCAGACATGCGGACTAAGTCTCGTCATGATCAGATTCGACGGCAGATCAAACACCACATAGCACACGTAGAACAGCGCGAGACCCGTCGAGATCTGGTGCGGGGTTGCATTCAACACAGTGCCCAGGTCGTGTCCGGCATCTTCGTTCATAGTCTGCGCAAGGCCGACGTTGGAGCGGATTGCAGAGCAGAGGAAGTAGAGGATCCAGAAGGGGGGGATTATGCGGTAGTCCAATTTTCTATTCCCGTATCAATTAGCTACGTGTTTGGTATATGTTAGTGAGGGAGATGAGATACCGGTAGATGCGCTCGATGCTGGCGACGTCCGGCTCATCGCCGGTTTCCGCGTGCGCGGGATCTTCTGGTAGTTGTGTGGTGACATTGGTGATGTCTTTCGTGTCTTGATGGTCTGCCATGTTGCTCATCGTACTTCAGCGCAGCTTCAGCACCACAGCAGGAGAGTAGTTGATATCAATTGAGGAGAACCGACCTGCAGAAATCTGCAGGCAAGTAAGCGACGCAAAAACACTAGACTAGCAGACTAGTCTGACCGGCTCCCAAAATCGATTCCGGAGAATAGCTTCCGCGAATCCAGAATCATATCATCTTGGCTGTCGTTCTTTCCCTGAGGCTATCACCGAGTGACCAAGATCATATCAATCAATCAGTCCCAACGCTCCACAGTGGCTATCGTCGGCTCAACTGTTGATTTTTCCGCGCTAAAGCTGAATTCTCCGAGCCGATCAAGTTAATGACTCACGGCGTGGTAGACCGTTCGTCCGATGTCGGCGGGTTCATTGTGGATGTGATTGTATCATTGCAACAGGAAGATATTTGGTAATGATTATGTGAAAGTATTGATTCATGATTGCATGCGAACTGTCCTTAGATTTGGACTGGTTCTACCGAGGGTGTCCTCGGGAACTATACCGGATTCGACTATAATGGTTTTGCCTGAGACTAGCAGTTTTACCTCTTATAACTTTAAGCAAGAAAGGTGGAGTATATGTGGGCTTGTGGTTTAGTGGTATAATACCCCCTTAGCATGGGGGTGGTCCGGGGTTCGATTCCCCGCGAGTCCATTTTTTTCGTTTCTCTTTTTTTGTCTTTTGATTTTTTTTTTTTTTTTTTTTTTTTTTTTTTTTTTTATCTGTGTGTTAGCTGACTCCAAGCCTAGATTTCTCAATCTCCAGTATGGGGGACTGAATAGCCCTTCATCAACGTAATCTTCTTGACGCTATATTATGTCTCATGTATCAGAAGCCATGTGGTATGTATCAGAAGCCATGTGGTATGTATCAGAAGCCATGTGGTATGTCGATGTTACCTAGCTGATAAGTCCACCACAATACCACTGGCGAGGAAGTGGCTTTGTGGGGAGACAGAAGATTGAATACGATTGAACTTGGGATGAGGTCCCTGGAGTCTTTTCGCGAACGGTAGACATCCACTTTATCCTGTATACATTGCTGTGAATAGCTTAAATCACCGCCGGCATCTTCAATGTCAAAGTATACATCCAATGCAACACCCAAGTCCAAAAACTGCCGTCAAATAGGTATATTTGTACCAACTCCAAATATCCAACTATATACGTCCCAAAAGACCGCCAAGACAGTAATATAAAAACATGGGTCTCATTAAACATCACATCCAAACAGAACAACCCGTCTATGAACGATCCGAACTACCATCTCTCCCAAACTTCTCATTTTCAATATGTTCGCGATGCTCCTTGTGCGTCCCGTCAGCGATGCTGACTTGGCGCACAGCGTGCACGGCAGCGTCTTCGACGTCATCAACGGTGTGGAGAAGTTCGCCTTTCTTGCCGTACATGTGTGGTTCGTCGCGGGCGGTGCGGACGAGGTTAAAAACGCTGGTGGTTTTGCGAAAGATGCGGTCCATTTCTTCGAGGGAGCGACGAGTTGTTTCGGGGTAGAAGAAGTAGGTGACGGGGAAGATGAAGGCGTTGCTGGTTGGGTTAGTAAAGGTATAAAGTTGGTAAGTAGGGGCAGAGACTTACATGACTGCGAAAATGATATAGGTCTGGTAACCAATGTTGTCAAAAGCTACAGGGGTAATCATGACAACGAGGAAGTTGAAGATCCAATTGGACGAAGTCGCCAATGCGTTGGCCGGAGCACGAATCTTCAACGGCACGATTTCTGCCGGGTACAGCCAGGTCATACCCAGCCAACCGATACCGAAGAAGGTGTTAAAGACAAACAGGAATACACAGCAGGCGATGTTCGCTGGGGTATTGGCGATGGACGAGGTGATGGCGAGGATGACCATGGAAAGGGACATTCCGGCAGCACCGAAAAGCATGAGCGTGCGACGTCCGAATTTCTCAATGGTGAAGATGGCAATCAGGGAGGCGAGGAAGTATTCAGTGCCATTGCAGGCGGAGATTAAACGGGATATAACTGGGTCCATTCCGACTTGGTCCTCTAGTAATTTGGGGATGTAGTAGGTAATCAGGTTGATTCCTGAGATTTGTTGGAACATCTGATTGACGTAGGCCAGCATGGTACGGTGGAAATGACGGTCTTCAGTCATGGTGAACATGTCGCTAAACGAGCCCTTGGACATCTCAAGGACGGTAGCCTTGATGGCAACGAGTTCGTTTTGCACCAAGGTCGAGTCTGGGGTATCATTCAACAACGCCGTGAGTACCTCCTGAGCATCATGTTCGCGACCCCTGAGCACGAGCCAGCGAGGCGACTCAGGGAGGAACATGACAAACGCCAGAATGATGAGGGCGAAAAAGATCTGGAAGGCCAGCGGGAAGCGCCAGGCCACGGGGTTCGGGTCGGCGAAGAGAAGACCAAAGTCGATCCAGTAACTGATGGTGATACCCAGGGTGATCATGGCACCTTCAATCATGACCATTTGGCCGCGACGGTTGGACTTGCAGCATTCAGATTGCCAAGTGGGTACGGTAGATGTGTTCATTCCGTTTCCTACGCTATTAGCCTTGTTTGCGGAAGAGGTACGAAGGGGAAGCCGGCGACATACCAAGACCGGTGACAATGCGACCAACAATCAACTGAGGCAGATGGTAGGCGGTGCATTGTAGAATCGCACCGATGACCATGATAAACGAACCAAGGAAGATAGTCTTGCGCCGTCCAAGCCAATTTCCAATCCAGATTGTGGGAATTGAACCGGCGAAACATCCCAAGTTATAAGCGGCAACAACGATCCCTATGAAATACCTCCCAGTTAGCAATTTGCTTGTTAGAATGGTGGAAAAGAGACTCACCCTGCTCCGTCGAGCGAGCACTCTTCTCCTCTTTGGTAAGACCCTTATACTCGGCTCCAGTAGTTGCGATAGAAGGAAAGACGCTGATGAACGAATCCAGATTTAACAAACCGCCAGTCACACCTTGATCGTAACCAAACAGCAAGAAATCCATTCCGGCAATGACACCAATGGCAATCTGGAGGGAATTGCCCTTCAGACCCAAGTATTGACCACCGCCCATGATGAATTAGTTGATGTGCAGTTCCGGGGAATATAAGGATTCATCAAAGGGTATATACTATAAGTGATTGAGCACTAAGGAAGACATAAGAATAGGAGATTGGCAAGGAAAGGGAGAGCAGTGAGTGAGAAAAGAAAACAAGCGAATACGCGACGACGAGGCGCCGCTGGTTTTATGAAGCTTTGTATGCATTTCTCCAGTCTCGATGCTGATTGGTCACAGACCAAAGCAAAGACAGCGAGCCTTGGCTTGTCCTGTTTGGGATATGCCGATCGGAGAGCAGCCGACATTTTAGCCTATTTTGCCTGTTTTTCTGCATATTTTCTCGTTTCTGGATACTACTACACTAACTAGATGACGTCCGGCGGACTCACGTGCTTGCGGAGAGTGTGGGGAGAGCGAATGCGGTCATTTTTGTGGGCCATAAGAAGATCTGGAGAAGAATCTGGGGATATCCACGGAGTACATAGTTGTATGCCTACTACTCGTATCAAGTATTTAACCTACATGTTTGCATAGAGAATAAGAGGAAAACATACATTAAAATGCAGAATTTTATCTTACATAGTAGTATACAAAGATATCAGTCCCAATGGGGACCTGTCGTGCACGAACCATCCTCACCATCCCCAGCAGTCATACCATATGCAATTAATTCAACACTCCAAGGATCCAAGTCTCTCGGTTTACCTATTCTGGTATCCCGACAGAGCAGAGTCAGAATTCCCCCGGATAGGCACGAGTCGTACAAGCGGCGAAATCTTACGCAGCACAGCCTTCTAGAAGCATGATCTTCCTGGTTACCACCTTGACATCTATCCATCGCGTACTCTTTATACTTGCAGGTGCTGGATGTGACCTTGTCCTCGTATCCAAGATATCGTGCTTGTATACCACCCGAAGCGACATCGCTAAGTGGTAGTGGGCACGACCCCTCTTCCCCGTATTTCCCTTCCTCGGCTCGCATACGCATTCGGAGACTCCCGAGCCTACTCCACCACCACCACGCTCTTTCCATCATGGTGCATATCACAAATAGACAACTTTTATTATTATTGTACGCTGGTCAATCTCCACGAGTTAGCGAACCGGAGTTCTTCTTCCCCCCCTCCATCAATCACACAGACAGGTCAAACCGTCGTTGAACAGGATCCTAATCCCGTGCCAGGTCCCCGTTACCGACTGTCCGCCCCAGTTCCGTCCGAGAAAAAGAAAATCATACAAGAAAACGAAAAAGTAAAATTCCTCGGATTGCCGGCTTCCCCGTTCGACCAAATGCAACAAAAGAACAAAACAAGTAACGAAAAGCGAAGGGAGAAAAAAAGTGCCAGAGTCGTAGTAGTACTAAGCTAGATATACTTGGAATCATTCCGTATTCCGCAGGGAAGAGCGAGCCAACCAACGGAAGTCCTCCGTACGGCTTGTGGCTGTCTTGACGCACTCTCTCTTCCCCCGCACACGGCTGAAACCGTTCCACGTCCCGACATCCATTTCGGGGAGAAGAAACGAGTCGTGGTTTTCACCAGCCGGCCGCTTCTTCGGAAGCACCCCATCCGCCGCCAGCACCAGCGCCAACGTCATTGCCCCTGTTATTGTAGTCGTCCGTGCCGCCCATCAAGTCAGGCTCCCCCGAGTTCTCGGCGGGGCACCGGCGCATCGTGTGGCCCACTGCATTATTCCGCAGTCAGCCCAGATCTTTTTCCTTTTTCTGATAGAATGCAGGGACCAATGAACACTTACTCTCACCACAGTTGTTGCACCTGACCCTGGAGTAATCGCGTGGTTTCGGGCAGTCAGTGCTGAAGTGACCGACCTCATCGCAGTTGCGGCACGTCACAGTGGAAACGTCGCGCGGCTTATCACAGTCTCGAGCCATGTGGTCCTCCGATCTGTGCCCGGTCAGTTTAGGGAGTGCTCTTTCGTCATCGCTCACAGGTGACACACGACACTTACCCACAGTTGCGGCAGGTCCGGGGCGCACTGGCCTGAGGACAATCCTTTGCAAAATGTCCAGCTAGTGAATAAGATTATTGGTACTGTGGACGGCGTAAAGAAGTATGTCAAGGTTCCGGCTTACTCTCATTACAGCGTCGGCATTCGACTCCTTCGGCCGTACGAGGGTTGGGGCAGTCGGAGGCCTTGTGCTCGGGAGACCTGCGCGCTATCAGCAACTCTGCATATAGGATGTAGCACGGGTGTCTGCTATAGACAGATATCTCACCCGCAGTTACGGCAAGCGAACTTATCGCGACGCGGCTCGGGGCAGTCACGGGCCCGGTGGCCGACGGCGTTACAGTTGACACACTTCACCTCGACTCGCTCGCGTTCAGTACGCTCTTCCTTGCAGCTGCGCGAAATGTGACCCATTTCTGATTTGTCTGTGTCAGCATTTTTCGCCATCAATCTTCTTGATTTGGGTACACTTATTTGCTTACCACCACAGTTGATACATTTCGGGATCTGACGATCGTAAGGGAGACCAGCGTCCTCGAGACGGGCCAGGTTGTCTTCGGTAGAGGCGGGCCAACGCTCACGGAGTGCCGCTCGCTGTGGCTTGGGGCTGTAGTAGAAGCCGACCACATACTTGCAGTTCAGCTTACCCTGAAGGCTAATCAGGCACATAATGTCGCCGATTGGTTTCTCCTATGCCACACAATCAGTACTATTCTTCTGGAGAGCAATATGTTATGATTTATAACTAACCATAGCGATGAGGTAAATGTTGAAATCCTCTTCACGCATTTTCTTCTCGATATCCACAAGGGTGGCCTGGGGAGCCGCCTTGGAGTAGACCTTGAAAGCCTTTTTACGGCCAATCAAACCTGAACTGGATATAAACAAGCGAGAAGAATATTTGACTTACATCGCGAAACTCTCCCAAGTCTTTATCGTCACTAGCCGCCTTCATTGCGGCCCACGCCTCTTCGGGGAGCTTGTCCGGAACACCGTTCAAGTCAAATTTGCGGTTCTCCGTGCACTCCATAGTCTTGTGGCCTGCCGAGGAAATTAGTCATCTCTTTCCCAAAGCCACATTGCTCCAAGAACTTACCCTCCTGTTTACAGTTCTTGCACACGTCAGGAGGCCGCTCAGGGCACTCGGCAGCGGGATGTCCTTCCCTCTCGCAGATACGGCAGGGTCCCTTGAACACGCGAGGCTTGGTACATTCGGCCTTACTATGACTATTACGATGTTCAGCAGCTGTGAAGACAGAAGCATACAATGTCTTACTTACCCTTCTTCGCCACAGTTGAAGCAAGCTCCGCTCTTGCGAGGCTGAGGACAGTCGACTTTGCTGTGACTGTAATGTTGTTTAGTAACCATGAAATTGAGCAGACGGACACAGGCCACTTACCCTTCTTCACCGCAGTTGAAGCAGGCGCCCATCTTACGAGGCTCAGAACATTCGCGGGCAAAGTGACCCTCACCACCACAGCTGTTTGATTTTGTTAGCTGAGTACAGAAGAGGAACAGTCCAGGGACTTACTTGCGGCAATTGTTGTTACCCCCTGCGCCACCGTCATCAGCGGCATCGAATCCACCATCACCGCCATCGAAGCCATTGCTGTTGAAGTGGTCTTCACCACCGAAGCCGGCGTCACCTAGACGCTGTCAGTAAGATAACAATTAGAAGAAGACGGAGCCTCCTTTGGGGCACGAGAGCACGTAGAAGGTACGCGTAATTTTCGTGTGAGACGTCTCTCGATGACCAAGGTTTGTACGCACCGGAGTCCCAGGCACCGGCTGCCTCGTTGGATCCCCATCCAGACATCTTGGGGGTGTATGTTTTCTTAGAAAGGATCGAAAGAAGGATGAGAGTTCAGGTTTTCTAGCATCAAGACGCAAAATTTTCAGTTTAGAGAACTGAAGAGGACGAAGAGGAAGAAGAAAGGAAAAGACACGGGAAAAAGAAAGAAACGTAGAAAAAACCGGGAAGTAGAATTGACGTGTTTTTAGACGCGAGCGAATTTGAAAAGAGCTGGAACCGAGACTGGAACTCAATTTCCAGATTCTCTCGTGCTCGAGAGAATGAAAAGAGAACCTCACTCACCAGTAGCAAGCAGTGACCAAACGTCCCGTTCTTTGACAATGAAGAAGAGGTCTCTCGTGTAGGATAGAGAGGAGGGAAGGGGAAAGGGAAAATATGAAGGATGAAGAGAGATGGAGGAGGGAAAAGGAAGAAAAAGAAGAAAAAGGGAAAAGAAATAAACACATAAAGTGAAGGGAGACAAAATGGAAGTCCAGTAGTGAATAATTCGTTTGCTACCCACGGGAGGATGGCGTTGCAGGTATCGATGCCATCCAAAATCATTTGCAGCTTGCCTGAATATACCCATGTATTATGGCAAAGAACTGTTCCATACACGCGATAGTTGAGCTGCTTGGTCTTCCGCGCTGTACGGATGCAGCCCTATCTGAGCTTCCCGCAGCGAAATGTAATTTTCTGCGTTTTTCTGCCGGTAAAACTTCGTATTAAGTGCTCTAATCATTTTTCTTGTCGCAATTATTTTATAGGCGATTCCATTAATTTTGTACAAAAAGCCCAAGCATACAATTTCAATCTATACAAACACCTGGCAAACGAACGTTGACG